ATCGACAACCGTGCCCTAATCGCACCCCACGGTCCATCACTGTTGACGAAGGACACTTCGTACCAATCCGACGGGTCCAACATCCCCGCGGCCCTGCGCTCCGGTACGCTGGCACCTCGAGATCTACATCTCGCCACGTCACTCCCGTCCCATCCCGACCTGCCTCGCCAGGCACCCGCATCCCCCAACCTGTCGCCAGTACAGGTCAAGCGCGAGGAGACCCCTATCTCCCTCGAGGAACTGAGGCAGTCGCACAGCCTTCAGCGACCCCTCAAGCGATCCCCCAGCCCTCCTTGGGGCCGCGGCTGGAAAGGCCTCCCAAGACCGAGCCCCGCGACACTCCGCCGCATTCTTGGGCCAGCTCGTCGTCAGCGGTCACCGCCTCGACTTCAGTCCCTGTCCTACGTCACCCCGCCTCCAGGCTTCCTCAACTGGCTTCACCGCCGTTGCCGCCGCGAGGCCGCTCAAGCACTCGTTCCTCGAGAAGTTCGCCCGGCGGACAGTCACAACAGTCGCCTCCGTCCGCGGGCAGTCCTTCGTCCCCCTCGTCGCCGATAATGTCGTCCCCCGCAGCCGTCCTCGACAAGGAGACATTGAAACTCCTCCTCCCTCTCCGATACGATGGCAAAACCGTCATCGACTGCGACAGGTTCTTGTCGCAGCTACGCATCTACTGGATGGTCAACACGTCATTGACCACCATCGAACTCAAGGTGCAGGTCGCACTGAGCCTGCTCGACGGTGACGCCCGCGCCTGGGCCACCCCCTACTTCGCCCAGCTCGTGTCAGTGCAGATAGGTGTACAAGGGGCTACAACCCCATTCGCAAATGAAGCGGCCTTTGCCGCCGCCTTCAAGGCCCGCTTCGGAAATCTCGACGACAAGGCGGCAGCACAAGTAGAGCTGGCGAAGCTCTGCGCGGACAAGTCGGTCCGTGAAAAACGCACCGCTGCGGAATTTTCCGCGCTGTTCAAGGGTCCGGCGGACCGCTCTGGGTATGGGGACCTGGAGCTACGCGACAAGTACCTGAGCGGCATCCCCTCCCGCGTCTACCGCAAGATCGAGCTCGAGACCTTCGCCACGTGGCAAGCAGCTGAGAAGCGCGCCACCGAGGTCGAGCAGATCCTCGACATCAGCCGGGCCCGTAGGCCCGAGCTAAACAACTTCTTCTCGGCCCGAGGTCGAGGACGCGGTGGGGCACGTGGTGGTGCACCCTCGACGCACGCAGCTTCGGCCAGCATCAATGCGGCCGTCGGAAAAGGAAACTTCCCCGGCACATGCTTCGGCTGTGGGAAGCAAGGGTACCAACGCTTCGAGTGCCCCAATTGTAAGGACAAGCCTTACACAAAACGCGCCGACGCGCGGGCTACGGTTGCCTCGGGATCCACCCAGGCAGCGACAAGCGCCCCCGTCACGACATCACCCTCGGCAAGTATAAGTGCCGCTTCAGCGAAATCCGAGCAATCGGAGCTGGCGGACTTAATGGCATAGGTGAAGTCGATGCGCGAAGAGCTCGAGCATTATCGGGCGATGAAGGAGGAGGGTTTTTGATCCGGTCCGCGCTTCGTGCCGCACGCGTCGGGCCGCGAGTATCATCATGTAATAGATATAACGTATTGTCGACTGCAATGGTGTACGAGCTGGACCAGGGGTCCCAGCATTTTCACATTCCAGTTCGACTCCAAGGGAAAAGATGGCACAAAGACATAATCGCTATGGTGGACAGCGGAGCCACCACGAAGTTCATCAACAAGCGATTCATCGAAGAGAATAAGGTGCAGACGCGGAAGCTAAAAGAGCCGATTCCGCTCTACAATATCGACGGCACCCTGAATAAGGATGGAAGCATCTCAGAAGTAGCAGTGCTACAGATGCACATAGGAGAACACGTCGAGAAAACGGTGTTTACGGTCACAGACATTGGTCCAGAGGATGTGATCGTCGGGTTGGATTGGCTACGCGAGCACAACCCCGAAATAGATTGGGAGAAGGGCTCCCTCAAATTGTCGCGATGCCCTGAAACGTGTAGCGCCAGGAGGACTGGCCGAATGGAGCAAGCAGCGACTGCGTGTGATACGGGGGTCAGGCCCACGGCGCGCAGGCGTTCGCCGAAGTCCAAACGGTCGGTCATAGGTGCCTGCCGGAGCAAGGTGCTCCCGGACTTTGAACCCAAAGAAAATTCGGCGGAAGTGGAATGGGATGAGACTGACTTGATCGAAGCCTGGGAGCAAGGTGTCACGCTTCCCGGCGCTCCTCAGCTGTTCGTTGCGGCAGGACATACATACTCCCAACTGTTTGCGGAGGAAGAGATCAAAAAGAAGGTCGTTAAAACCGCCGAAGAGTCGGTGCCTAAACAGTACCACGAGTTCCTGAATGTCTTCTCCAAGGAAGCATCAGAACGGTTACCCAAAAGGAAGCCGTACGATCATGCGATTGAACTCGTGCCCGGCTACTCGACCTTCCATTCGAAGGTATACCCGTTGTCGAACAACGAGCAGGAGGAATTGGACAAATTCCTAAAGGAGCAGTTAGCGAAAGGCTATATACGGGAGTCGAAGTCACCGATCTCGTCCCCCTTCTTCTTCATCAAAAAGAAGGAAGGGACACTTCGACCCGTACAGGACTACCGCCGGTTGAACGCGATCACGGTCAAGAATCGTTATCCCTTACCGTTGATCACCGAGATGGTGGATAAGCTCCGCGGCGCTACACTCTTCACAAAGTTCGACGTCCGATGGGGATACAATAACGTCCGGATCAAGGCCGGTGACGAATGGAAGGCGGCCTTCGTGACTAACCGAGGGTTGTACGAACCCTTGGTGATGTTCTTCGGTCTCACCAATTCCCCCGCGACCTTCCAGGCAATGATGAACGAGATATTCCACGATCTCATCGTTGGTGGCAAGATCCTTGTATACCTTGATGACATACTCATCTTCTCCACCAATAAAGAGGAGCATGAAAAGGTCACACGCGAGGTTCTTCGTCGCCTTCAGGACAATGATCTGTTCCTGAAGCCTGAGAAGTGCGAGTGGGACGTTCCCAAGGTCGACTACGTCGGCTATGTGTTCGGTGGCGATGAGGTGGCGATGGATCCCGCGAAGCTTAAAGGAATTAATGAGTGGCCGGTACCCCGGAACAAAAAAGACGTTCAGAAGTTCCGGGGGTTCTCCAACTTCTACCGCCGCTTTATTAAGGACTTTGCTAAGATCTCGCGACCACTCGACCGACTTACAGGGAACGACCCATGGCATTGGGGCGAGGAAGAGCAGCACGCTTTTGATGAGCTCAAGCGGCTCTTCGCGACGACTCCAGTCTTGGCGCTGTACGACCCTAATCGGGAGACGCGCATTGAGGTTGATGCCTCTGGTTACGCCACTGGCGGCGTGTTGATGCAGAAGCAGGATGACGGCAAATGGCATCCCATCGCCTTCAGATCCCATGCGATGGATCCGGCACAGCGGAACTATGAGATCTACGATAAGGAGATGCTCGCGATCATTGAGGCGCTAGACGATTGGCATCACTATCTCGAGGGGTTACCCAATCAGTTCGAGATCGTCACCGATCACAAGAACCTCGAGTACTGGCGCACGTCTCAGCATCTCACGCGCCGTCAAGCGCGATGGTCGCTGTTCCTGGCTCGCTTCGACTTCCGCATCACGCACAAGGCCGGGACGTCCAATGGAAAGGCTGATGCCCTGTCGCGTCGATCAGACCACCAGATTGGCGATGAGGACGATAACACCGATCAGGTGGTTCTCAAGCCAGAGCGCTTCCGCATCGACTCCGCTAGGTGCGGTCACGCCTCGGTGACGGCCGATCAGTCGCTTCTGAAGCGCATCAGGGAATGTTCGGAGAAGGATCGGGAGGTGGCCGAGGCCCTTGAAAAGGTACAGGACCTCGGGCCGCCCCGGCTGCAAAGGGGTTTTGAGGAGTGGAATGCCGAACAAGGGCTCCTGCTGTTCCGCGGGTGTGTGTACATCCCAAAGAATGCGGAGCTCCGGCGGGATATCGTTAAGATCCACCACGACTCGCCGATCGCCGGTCATGGTGGTCGTGCCAAAACCCTGGAGCTCATGTCGCGGAATTACTGGTGGCCTGGGATGTCCAAATTTGTCAATGAGTACGTAAGCACCTGCGACGTGTGCAACCGTACCAAGACATTCCCAGCCAAGCCCCAGGGTCCGCTGAAGCCGAACGAGATCCCCGAGCGCCCATGGCAGATCATCACGACTGATATGATCGTCGGCTTGCCAAAGTCTGATGGGTTCGACTCGATCCTGGTCACCGCCGACCGCTTCACAAAGTAGGTCCACTTCTCGGCCTGTCATGAGACCCTGATGGCAGAAGGTGCGGCAGACTTGTACATCCGCGATGTGTTCAAGCATCATGGGGCCCCGGCCAAGGTCATATCAGACCGAGGACCCCAGTTCGCTTCGAAATATCTCCATGCGGTGTATAAGGGACTGGGAATCGAGCCGGCGCTGTCCACGGCGTTCCACCCTCAGACGGACGGCCAGACCGAGCGCTGGAATCAGGAGACCGAACAGTACCTGCGTGCTTTCACAAGCCACAGGCAGGATGATTGGGCTAAGCAGTTGCCGCTCGCGGAATTCGCACTGAACAACCGAGTTCACTCCGCGACCGGGCACTCCCCTTTCTACCTGCATCAAGGGTACAATCCTGAGATCCAAGTGCGGATCAATCCGATGTCTGCGATGCCTGCAGCCGCTGATCAGCTCAAGATCCTGAAGGAGATTCGCGACGATACGCGCTCTGCGCTCGAGCTGTCAGCCGAGCGTATGAAAGTATACTACGACAAGCACGTGCAGGAGGCACCGGTCTTTGCGCCGGGGGACAAGGTCTGGCTTGACGCTCGGAACCTTAAGCTGAAACAGCCGAGCAAGAAGCTTAGTCCCAAACGCCTCGGACCTTATGCCGTGCGGCGAAAGCTCGGAGACCTGGATTACGAATTAGTCCTGCCAAAGTCGGTGCCGGTACACCCGGTATTCCATGTCTCCTTGCTTAGCAAGTACACGCGCAGCGATATCCCGGGCCGAGAGCCAGAGGAACCGCCTGCGATCGAGGTTGAGGGCGACGAGGAGTATGAGGTTGAGCGGATCAAGGATTCAAGGATCTTCCGGCGTCAGCTGCAGTACCTCGTCAAGTGGAAGGGTTATGACGACTCGCATACGTCATGGGAACCGGCGCGCAACGTTGCCAATGCGCCGGCCCTCATAGCCGACTTCCACCGGAAGAACCCGAACGCCCCTCGTCGTCTCAATGCTGCTGTATTTGGTGGTCTCAACTTCCAGCCGATGCCTTCGCCGCTGACTGAAGCACGCTGCCGCTCCGGATGGGAGATGGGCAAGGGCGCCTCGCATGAGGTCATGCGCCGTTGAGGGGGAGGTAATGTCACGAGTTGGCACGGCGTCTAGCCGTTTTTTAATTTTCCTTTTCGCGGGCTCGAACCCGCGACCTCTGTACTACATGCCCGATATGGACGCGTCACTATCTACTGTACGATTAGATTAGATGGGGCGGCAGCGCACGGCACAGCTCGGGC